GACGTGCCAGAGTTTATTCAGATTGACAAGCTCTCTCCCATAGGTGGCTGGCTGGCTCGTTTCCAGACTTTCTGTTCCAGACAGCTCTGCAGTGAGTCATGTGTACATATTTTTTTCTGTGTTTGTAAGCAGCTCTCTGGGATAAACCCCTAGACACTGGCTCAGTGTGTCTGAGGGTAAAGATTTTGCTAGTTTTTCCCCCCATGGCGTCTCCCTACGGCTGTGCTCCTTTGCACGCCCATCAGTGATGTAGGGGAGTCCCCCCAAAGGCTCCTGAGAAGAAGCTCTCAGCCTCAGATTTTTTTTTTAAAAATATATTTTTATTGATTTCAGAGAGAAGAAGGGAGTGAGCGAAAGAGAGAGAAACATCAATGATGAGAGAGACATTGATCAGCTGCCCCCTGCACAACCCCCACCGGGATCGAGCCCGCAGCCCGGGCCTGTGCCCTGACATGGATCATAAGCCAATGCTCAAATGCTGAGCCACACCGGCTGTGCAGCCTCAGGCTTTAAAAAAAATGAATCTGAGAGGTAAAGCTGGTATCTCAGTGGCCATCGCTCGTCTTAGCAATGGGAGCCTTTTCCGGGACGGAGTAGACCAGGGCGGACGGAGGCCAAGGCCAGGTGTGTGTCTCGCCAGCTGTGACCCCGCAAGAAGCAGCACTTGGAGCTGAGTCCTGGGGGTTTATTTTCCATCCCTGGGTGGGATGGGGGGCTCAGGCTTTTAGTTAGGAGTTAGCGGGGGGCAGGGGACCCTCTACACAGGTGTGTAGTTCCCGTTGTAACGGAAGGGGTTCGGCTTCACGCAGTGCCCGCCCTCCTCAGGGATCCATCGCTGGACAAAGTTGGGGCCGTTGTCCCGATGCCACACAATCACCGTGTCTTTGGACGCCACAGATGGGTCCTCCTCGAAGAAGTTGAAGGGCCGGAGCAGGAAGCCTATGGAGTTTCCCGGGGTGGCCGTGTTGGGGACGTCCTCTGAGTGGGGGATGTGCAGGAAGCCCACTGTCACCCAGGCCACTAGATCCTGTGGGAGAGAAGGGTGGGCAGTGCTGAGGAGACTCCGAGAGGAGAGGGGTGGGAGATCTCCTCCAGCCCCCTTTGTAAGGAACCGGCAGGTCTGGGGACCACAGAGCTTGCTCTCCACACAGCCAGCTGAGCACAGGTCTCGGGACTGGGCACAGATCCCACCACTGGGCACAGATCCCGGGATGGGGCACAGATCCCTGGAAGGGGCACAGATCCCATCACTGGGCACAGATCTCGGGACGGGGCACAGATCTGGTCCTGGGCTGGGGCAGAGATCCAGGGATGGAGCACAGATCCCACCACTGGGCACAAGTCCTGGGACAGGGTGCAGATCCCAGGACGGGGAATGGATCCCGGGACTGGGCACAGATCCTGGGACGGGGTGCAGATCTGGGGACCAGTTACAGGTCCTGGGATGGGACACAGAGCTTGCTGTCCACGCAGCCAGCTGCCGCAGGGCACAGGTCCCGGGACTGGGCACAGATCTAGTCTTGGGCTGGGGCTGGAAGAAAGCGGGGCCAGTACCTCATTTTCAATGTTCTCGTTGTTGCGAAGAAACTCCTCGAAGACCACAGGCGGGTCCCAGGGGTCGTTCTGGTTATAGATGCTGCTACTGTACAGCTCAGACTCCCGGTACTTGGTCACCGCCAGGGGGTACCTGCCGGCAGAGAAGCCAGGTGGTTCTGGGCCCTCCAGGGCACATCTGCTGGGTCGGTGAGGTGAGTTTTCCCCAATTTTGAGATCATATCCTAGCCCAGTGTCAACTGGGGCTCAGCTCCTCCTCCCCAAACGCAGAGCCGCACACACGCCCGCACGCCCACGCGTCCAGATGCACTGCCCCACAGGCTCAGAGCCCCATAGACAGAAACACAGACACGGGGAAACGCAGGGCAGAGCCTCGGGCCTCAGCCCCCGAGCCCGCTCACCTGGCCCAGGTGACGGCCCGCTCCTCCTGCCAGCCGGGGGGCAGCACCTGCTGGGCCATGGAGTGGATCTGCACCCGGTAGCTGCGCTTGTGGCCCCAGCGGTTCTTCTCGGGGCTGGTGAAAAGCAGGTGCTTGGGCAGAGCTCGCCGGAAGCTGAAGGCTGCCTGGCGCTCGCTGGGGTAGTGCTTCTCCTCCAGAGTCGGTTGGACCATCCGGTGTTCCGGGCTCCAGGGGATGGTGATGTTTTCTAGCTTCATCCCCAGGGTCTGGAAGCTATTCTTGGTACCTGCGAGTGTGCACAGGGACACAAAATGAGGATCCAGCCCCCCAAAATGACGCCCTCCATTCTGCGCTGAGATCTCCTCCCCAGACCGCATCCAGCAGCAAACCATCAGGGGCGAAGGGGGTGTCGGGGGTACGTGGAGCCAGCTGTGGGTGGCGTGTCCGGTGGGACTACGGGCAGTGCCTCTGAAACGTGTGTCCTGAGCCTGTGGGCCGCCCCGCAGTCCTAGAGGAGGGGCGGCCATCTTCCGCCGGCCGGGGACTGTGGCCAGCGCCCTCTGCGTCCAGGGGGGCAATGGGGCCCAGCCGGTGGGGAGGGTGGGGTCCAGGAAGGGAAGCCCCCATCTGGTCCTGGGGGCCCGCTCTGACATGAGGTTTGACGTCAGGCCGCATCCTGTCTTGACGCCTACCCACAGTGACACCGTTAATCCAGGAGACCCAGGAAACGTTTCCGATGACTCTGCGTCCACCTCAGAGGGCTAGACGGCGGCCACATTCCTCACGCTCCAAGGCGTCATCCTGTCCCCCGCCCCGAACGCACCTCACTGCCCACCCCGCCCGTCTGGAGGGCCAGTGCCGCCCCAGGGCCCGGACGGGGTTCACGATGCTGCACCCCAGGCAACACCGGGGGGCCGTTCACTGCCACCCTTCTTCGGGGACACGGGTATTCCAGCCCTGTGGGGTTCAGAGGCCGGCTGAGCCCGTTCTCCTGACAGCATGCCCCCCGGGGAGCAGCGGCCTCTCCCACGGGCGGGCGTTTGGGCCCGGGGCGGGGGGCCCCAGCCGAGCCCTACCTGCCACGTCCAGGTCCACGCGATAGTGCACGAGGTGGGTGTGCATGTTGCCGAGCAGGTGTGTGTGCAGGCGGGTTCCGTAGCGCAGCCCCTCAGGCGTGTAAAAGGTGGTGTGCACGTAGCCGGTGGCGTACACCTTGGCCTCCATCACCCCGTTGGGGTAGAAGACGAAGTCCCAGATGTAGTCGTAGTTGTAGACCGTGGATGTCGTCCGCAGCACCAGCACCTGGCCCTCGAGCCCCGCGTAGAAGTTGAAGCCGCCGTGGTAGTTGGAGTCGAAGTGGCGCCGCAGGGGCACCCCGGTGGGCATCTCGAAGAGACAGAGGGCCCGGGGGTAGCGGACGGGGTCGTCGGCGTCGTAGTAGTGGAGGGCGTCCAGGAAGGTGGCTGTCTCCGGGCAGTCGATGCCGGGGGCCAGCTCGTGGGTGACGGTACTCAGGCCCCAGCCCAGGTCCATGTACTTGGTCTGCATGCCGGCGGGCGTGTGGCCCCCGTACAGAGCCACCGCCTCCTGCACGCTCACCTCATAGGCCACCTGCTCCCCGCCGAAGCGCACGTTCAGGACCTGCAGCCCCGACGTGGACGGCAGCCTGAACGCGAAGCTCCAGCCCCCGTAGAGGACGCTGTTGCCCTCCAGCCGGTAGCGGGGGCCCTGGGGCTGGGCCAGGCGGGGGCCGTGGGTGGTGACGGGACTGGGGAAGTCCCCGCGCGGCTTGTAAGAGGAGAAGAGGGGCGGCTCCTCCGAGGCCTCTGCGCCCTTGCCCTGGGGCGGCAGGTCCTCCAGGACCACCACGTCGACCTCCCCGTTCCGGTACTTGCGAGCGAGCTCCTCGGGGCTTCGGTAGAACTTCCCATTGTACCAGACCTGCTCCACCGTCCAGTCCCGGGCGTCGATGCTCCTGTGGTTCAGGAGCAGCTCCAGGCCCGTGGGGTGCAGGAAGAAGCCTTCCACGAAGCGTTGCAGGATGATCCAGGTACGCCGCTCGCCGGAGGCCAAGCCCCGGGGGGACACGTCGGTGAAGGTCAGGCATCGGGCGGAGCAGTCCTCGAAGGAGAAGCCGCCGGTGGTGTCGAGGAAAAATTGGTGCAAGGGCTTGGTGGCCTCCTGCAGGGTGCGGCTCAGGAGGACGGTCTCTGCAGAGGACACAGGCCGGGAGGCCCAGGAGAGCTGGTGCCCAGGCCTGGGGGGCAGCTTGCGCAGGTAGCGGGGCCGTGGCAGGGGCCCCACAGCAAACTCAGTGACGTTGCGATGCTCCTGGGCTCCGAAGAAGATGACCGCACGCGCCTCCCGAGCAGGGCGCCTGTGACCCTTGGTCAGACATTTCAGCACATGCTGCTTCTTGGGCAGCAGCAACTCGATAAGGAACACGGAGTTCTTAGCGAGGGTGGGGGCCCTGTGGGGCTCCAGCCGCAGCTCCTCCCGGGACCAGAGGAAGTCACGCACGGCCTTCAGCTCCTGGGCGCTCAGGTCTGCGAACACCTCCGCCTGGCTGCACAGGCGCCGTCGCGAGTGGTTCGCCACGGCCAGCGTCTGCAGCACCAGGACCGCAGCCACGGCCCGGCACAGGGCCAGGGTCTCTCGTCTCATGGCTCTAGAACGCAGAAGAGGTGAACTTAGTTATTTTGGGGGGGGACATGCGTTTCCACCAGGCTGGGCCTGGGACTGCGATGTCCTCCGGCCCTGGTTTCCCTACAGATGCAGCCAGAGGCCACCCTGGGGCAGGTGGGGCCCTGAGCTGCTCCGGTCGGTGTTTTCCATCGATTTTAATTCTGCGCTCTCCTCGCTGGTCGGTTAGTCCTGCGGATTTTCTTACCTACGTCAACCCTGTTTCCCACCTTGTCTGCCATTATCTCAGCTCGGCTGCACCTCCACCTTTAGGGCTACTCAGCCAGGGCTGGTGACTCAGGGCCTCCCCCCAGATCCCACTGAGCCCTTCTTGGGTCCTGGGTGTGGGTGAAAAACAGGGTGCTGTGATCAATCACAAATCCCTACCTGGGAAGCCACAGTGGGTAGCCAGGCCCAGGCCTGGAATAACTCTTTAGTTAAGCCAGCCATGTCCAGGGTTCTTGACCATCTAGGTTGACACACATTTGAGATGCCAGAGTGACACCCCCTCTCACCCCCGTGGAGGTGTAACCCCCCTCAAGGGGAGGCAATGTGCAGGAAGCCCCCAGCACCTGCTTCCCACCTCTTCCTGTAGTCTTTCTTGATTCCAAATGTGTAACTGAAACCACAGACTGTCATTCTTGGAAGGGTGTGAGATCCCTCCCGCTTCCTGCCACTTGTCATCAGTTTGGGCTCAAACGAACTCTTACAAAAACGACCCACAGGTTTGGATGTTCCTTACGTCGACATGGGCATTAACAGCAGAACTACACTTTGATACGTCAAAATGTTTTTCATGTGGCTACAATCGGAAATGCAGTGTAGAAGTTCCAAGAGTGGGCTCGGGAGTCAGGCTGCCTGGGTTCAAGAGCTAGCGTGTCCCACTGCTAGGGCCTGCTGTGTGACTGTGGGCAGGTTGCTTAAACTCTCTGGGCTTCCATTTTTTCGACTGCACAATAGAAATGAACAACCACAGTACCTGCCCCCTACGGTAGCGACGAGAAATCAATTGGTCAATAGAATAATGTGTTTAGAACTGTGCTTACCTTCTAGGTCCTAGGAAGCACTCTAGAATCCTTAGCTCCTCTTTTTTTTTTTCAATCCTCACCTGAGGATATTTTTTCAGAGAGAGTGGAAGGGAGAGAGAGGGAGAGAGAAACATTGATGTGAGAGAGACACATCAATTGGTTGCCTCCAGAACGTGCCCCGACCTGGGCTGGGGATCAAGCCTGCAACTGAGGGTACATACCCTTGGCTGGAGTCGAACCTGGGACTCTTCAGTCCATGGGCTGACGCTCTAACCACTGAGCCAAACCAGCCAGGGCTCCTCCTCTTCTTTTAAAAGCCAATCCTCAGAAGACAGTGGTACCATAAGATTTAAAATTTAAGCAATGTAGCCCTAGCTGCTTTGGCTCAGTGGTTAGAGCGTTGGTCCACGCACTGAAGGGTCCTGGGTTCGATTCCAGTCAAGGGCACATACCTGGGTTGCAGGCTCTATTCCCAGCCTTGGTCAGGGCATGTGTGGGAGGCAACCAATCGATGTGTCTCTCTCACATCGATGTTTCTCTCCCTCTCCCTCTCTCTCTCCCTCCCTTCCACTCTCTCTGAAAAAGCAATGGAAAAAATATCCTCATGTGAGGATTTAAATAAATAAATAAATAAATAAAAATAAAAATAAAATAAAATTTAAGCAACGTAGATGGATTTGACTGAGGCTAGGCTGCAAGCTGTGGCTTTGAGAGTGAGTCCTGCCCGGACTGCTTGGTCCCCTTGAGTGGGGCACTCTGGTTGTGGCCGCTTGACCACCCATAGCTCCTAGGAGGGCACCTCAGGGTGGGGCCATCCCAGGTGGTGATAGAGGGAGATGCCCTCTTCTCTTCCATTTTGTGGGAGGGTCTTCACCTCATAGCCCACCCCCCAGAGCAGCCAATACAGCGCCCGGTGCCTCGTCCTGTCCCTCTGGCCCTGGTGTGAAGACCTGGGGCTCCCTTGATTTTGTGCCATCCAGGCTGAAGGGATGGGTGAGACATAAGGGTGCCAGGGGAAGACAGAGAGAGCAGAAGGATATGGGGTGAGCTCTTGTTTTACTATTACATTTTGGCTCAGCCTCTTTTTTTTCTTTTAAATAGACTTTACCTTTTAGAGCAGTTCTAGGTTCACAGCAAAATTGAGCACAAGGTAGGTATAGAGATTCCCCATAGGCCCCCTGCCCCTCACATGCAGAGCCTCCCTCACTATCGACATCCCTCATCAGAGGGTACATTTGTTACAATCAGCAAACCTACACTGATACATCCTTATCACCCAGAGTCCACGGTTTACCTTCAGATTCATTCTTGGTGTTGTACATTCTATGATTTGGACAAAAGTATAATGACAGGTATCCATTGTTATAGTATTGCATAGTTTCACTGCCCTGAAAATCCTCTATGCTCAGCTATTCATCCCATCCTACCCCCAACCCCTGGCAACCCCTGACCTTTTCCTGTCTCCATAGTTTTGCCTTTTGCAGAACGTCATAGGCTGGGGTCCCCAGTCTATAGCTTTTTGAGACTGGCTTCCTTCACCCAGGAATACGTGTTCAGGTTCCTGATGTCTTTTCATGGCTGAACACCCCTTCTTTTTTTCCCTCCTCTCTGTTTTTTGTTGTTTTTTTTTTAAATTTAAATTTTATTTTTAAAAAATTTATCTTTATTATTGAAAGTATTACAGGTGTCCCATTTTTTCTTCCACTGACCCCTCCACTTCGCTCCCACCCCTCCTCAGGCCTTCTCCCCATTATTGTCTGTGTCCATGGGTTATGCATATATGCATATAACTTCTTTGGTTGCAGTGTTTCTTCCCTCCTCCCCCACTCCCTTCTCTCTTCCCTCTGAGATACAACCATCTGTTTGACACTTCTATGTTTCTGGGTCTGTTTTGTTTGTCATTTTCTTTTGTTCATTAGTTTCTTCTTAAACAAGACCCTTCAACATTTCATGTAATACTGGTTTGGTGGTGATAGACTTTAGCTTTTTCTTACCTGGGAAGCTCTTTATCTGACCTTCAATTCTAAATGATAGCTTTGCTGGGTAGAGCAATCTTGGTTGTAGGTTCTTGCATTTCATCACTTTGAATATTTCTTGCTATTCCCTTCTGGCTTGCAAAGTTATGTGGGGAAATCAGCTGACAGTCATATGGGTGCTCCCTTGTAGGTAACTAACTGCTTTTCTCTTGCTGCTTTTAAGATTCTCTCTTTGTTTTTAACCTTTGGCATTTTAATTATGATGTGTCTTGCTGTGGGTCTCTTTGGGTTCCTCTTATTTGGGACTTTCTGAGCTTCCTGGACTTGTAATTCTATTGCCTTCCCCAGGTAGGGGAAGTTTTCTGTAATTTTTTCAAATAGGTTTTCAATTTCTTGCTCTCTTTCTTCTCCTTCTGGTATCCTCATAATGCGAATGTTGGGCCTCTTGAAGTTGTCCCAGAGACTCCTTATGCTATCTTCATATTTCTGGATTCTTTTTTCTTTTTGCTCTTCTGGTTGGGTGTTTTTTGTTTCCTCATGTTCCAAATTGCTGATTTGATTCTCAGTGTCCCCTGCTCTACTGTTGATTCCCTGTAAATTATTCTTCATTTCAGTTCGTGTAGCCTTCATTTCAAATTGGTCTTTTATTATGTCATCGATTTTCTCAATTATTTTCATCATACTCTTACTAATATCCTTGAGCATCCTTATAACCATTATTCTGAATTCTGTATCTGTTAGCTTGCTTGGATCTATTTCATTTAGTTCCTCTCCTAGAGATTTCTTCTGTTCTTTCCTTTGTGACATGTTTCTTTGCCTCTGCATTTTGGCTGCTTCCAGGTGTTTGTTTCTATGTATTAGCTAGAGCTGCTATGTGTCCTGGAATGGTAGAGTGGGTTTGTGTAGTAGGTGTCCTGTAGGGCCCAGTGACTCAGTTTCCCCAGTCACCTGAGCTGGCCTTCTAGGTGCTCCCCTGTGTGGGCTGTGTGCTCTCAGCAGTTGTATTTGAGCCTTGGTTGCTGTTGGCGTCACTGGGAGGAATTAACCTCTAGGCCAATCAGCTGTAAGGACTAGCTGCAGCTACAGTCAAAGAGCTGCTGTGCTGGAGACACCCCTGTGGAGCAGGATTTACTTCAGTGGAGCTTTGGTGTTCACCGAGTCCACCTCTTGAGTGTGTCACTTGTGAATGTGGTAGGGTTGTAATTCGGTGTGGTTGAAGTTGATCATCAGGTGCACTGTCTCTGGGGCCTCCTGGGATGTGCAAAGTCAGCCTCTGCCTGTGCCATGCTCAGGGCCACCCAGCATGAGCTACACAGCAATCCATAGATGGATGCTACTTGTATTGGGCTTGCAGGTGTCCAGGAGAGGCCAAGCTATGAATTAATGCAGGCTGCTGCTAGTGCCAGGCCTGAGGCCACTTATCAAGAGGTATGGGGCATGCTGAGGCCAGCTGCTCCTTGTTTGAGAGAGTTTAGGAAAGTCCTAAGCATGAGGCTAGTGGGGCCACTTGCATAGAAAAGCCACTGGAAATGGCTTGGATGAGCCTGCAAGTAGGGAGGGGCAGGGTCTCAGGGATTCACCAGAGCAAGGTGAAAAGTGTGAGTCCGGTTGGTGGAGATTAAGAAAAGGTGCCTGCCTACTGGCTCTGTGGGAGGAGGGCTCATCAAAGGAGCAATGGCCTCTGTCAGCTCTTCTGTCTGTGAGAAAGCTGGCCCTCCAGCTCTTTCCCTGATTCCAGGCAAGTTAGTTCCTGTCCGAATGTCCCAGGTTCCTTTCAAGCTGCTGCCCAGTGCTAGAGCTCAAAGGGAGCGTGTCTGAGTAAGTCTGTGCGCTGGCCCTTTAAGAGGAACACCTGGGACTCCTGCAGCCTCTGAGTCCTTCAGCCACAGTCCCTACTGGTTTTCACTGCCCGAAGTTGTGGGGACCTCTCTTCCCAGCCCTGGAACCCTGGGCTGTGAGGCCTGATGTGGGGCTGGGA